GCTTGCAAAGAGTTGGAAATATCTTGAGGGACAGGAATTGGAATTCAATAAGTAACATATTGGAAAAATCCAAAGCATTTGTGATGATTGTTAAGAGCCTGAGTGATACCTTGATACGTGTGAAAAACTTAATTGTAGGTCTGCTTCAGTTATAGTTTTATCACTTTTTTCTCCCAAAGTTTATGTTTAACAATGACATAACTGAAAACAGAATATGCATAATAAGCAAGTGTACTTTTTGTAAAAAGGCTTATGTTTATATCAGTTTAGATTTAAGGGTACTTTGGCAGAGATATGTGTTGAAATGTAGTAATATGACATCAAAATACTGACACACACACATTCACCATGCTATGTCAGTTACTTTGCAGCTACCCACTGCTTCTTACCACCATATTACTTTCTTGTGGTAAACTGGCTGCTTTGCTTTCTTCTCCAATCTTTGCTGCAATTTACCTCTGGGATCAGAAAGCAGGTTCCCTCCCCCTCCCACTTATAATTCTTTGATCAGCAGACACATTTTGTGTAGAAGCAAAGAAGCCTGTAGATGATTTAATACAATCACTTCCCACAATTTCTAAAAAAAAAAGTAACAAAAAGCATTATATGACATTTTAGTTTTGCACTACAGCAATAATACTATAGTTTGACCGCATTTCCTCCAGTATTATAAAGGAGCAATGAAGTCACACTTCTGTCTTCCATGATCATCTTTCCCCCCCCCCCAGAATGCTCACAGTTCACTTAGATATTTTGATTTTCCAAAGTCAGAGTGAGTATACAGCTCCTCTCAATATTACAAAGATCTCTCAAATAGGTAATCATCCTTTAGCCCCTAGATCACTTTTCCATCTCAAAGGATCTCAGATATTGAATAATGCACTAACAAAAAAAAAAAGAAGAAAAGTTTGAGGAGGAGGCAGTGAAACAAGAGTAATTGTTTTCACGAACTGATGGAGCTTCAAAAAGTAATGGTGAAATTTAACAATGTTAGTGATTTGCTTAAAAGTCTTTGTGGCCATTTAGTGGGAACTGATGCCGATTCATATTGATCATGCCTGACAGCTAGCATTTCTGTTAATAAAATTCATAAACCAGGGAAGGTCACCTGACCTGAAATGAATGTATCTACCACACCATATTCATTATGCCAATGAGTATCCATGACAGCAAATGAGGTATGTTCCAGTGCTTCCTGATTTTTAAAAAAAACTCATGTTGCCAATCTTTTTATGAATTGATACAAATCAAGAGAAGGAGATCACTCTTGAAGAGGGGAAAAACTGAAGTACTATACTACACTTCTCATCCAAATTCAGTGTAAACAGGCTCCTTTCCTTTGCAGCTCAGCTTAATCTTAGCCAGTTCTGCAGTCATTTTTTGTTTTTATGATCTCATAAATCTGTTGACACAAAAAAGAATGTGCTTTCACCATCTATGCTATTTACTGTAGGGGGGAAAATACAAAGAAAATAGGCTGGGAAGAGATAGATTTTATCACTTCACAAGCCAGTTTCAGGGAGGAGGGAAAAGCCTTTGCCCTGATTTTTTTTAAAAAAATATTTAATGCATTAACAATTAAATAGAACTTGTTATCTGTAAACTGGAAACCAGTACAGAGAATTCAAAAGACTGGACCAAACAGCTACATTCTAAGGTTCAGGTTTAATCTTGCTTGCCCATTGCACATCATTTTCTTTGCACAATGCAATAGAGATGAACTTTACACATTATGCTGAAGATCAATAGATGCAAACTCTATCAGGGTAACAGGGCAAGTAATTCCCAGAGAGTCTGCTGCAAGGGACCTCAAGGGTCAAGCCATCCAAATTCCTGCATTATGCCAAGATTTGCTAGAGCTAAACTATCCTTGACAGATGCTTATTATGCTCCTCTAAACGTTATTGCCAGGATCTTACTCCATAAGAACAAAAATGTAATTGGTCTATGTCAAGCAACAGAAACACATCCAATGTCACAATAGGCTGACACCGAATGCCTTCTTTTTGGTTGAGAATTGAGAACAAGGAGAACAGGGGATTGTGACATCAACATGTGATGACTAGCCTTTTTTGTTTTACGAGTAGAATTGTTGTAGAAATATGGCACTGTATTTTCTGTCCAGCCAACTTTTTGTTCAGGAAAAAAAATAGTCATTTACATTCTAGACTGTTATCTTCTAGGATCACAGGAAACTAGCAAGCTACCCTAGGGATGACATTAATCTTGCCCTCCCCAATGAACTCCCTCCACAAGGGCACAATTACTCTACATTTTAATATGCATCTTTGTTTGCTAATGTAGTAAACTCTCCTTGCTGAATGGCAGTTTCTTGCAGATGATAATGCAACTGCAGCATGAGAGACTACTCAGGCTGATGCAGAGCCCCACCTCACTTCTTCCTACTAGGAAGCAATTACAAGTGGTGCCAATGGAGGATGTGCATTTGATGAGTCTCTCATCAAAGGCGGCTTGAAAACCATTTTCTGGAGGAAGGTGGTACAGTGACAACTTAATACAGGAAAGGAATTTCCTCCAACTGAAGAGGAAAGGGCCACATTTCTCACTCCCTTCCATAGTCTAAATCAGAGGTCCCCAACCTTTTGGGCAGCAGGAACTGGTTTCGTGGAGAGAGGTTTTTTTGCGGACTGGAGGGTGCGTGGTTTTGGGTGCTGCCTGCATCTCGTGGATGGGGCTTTGCTTGTTTGTGTGGACCGGTTGCTGGCATGCCATGGACTGGTACTGGTCCACAGACCCGGGGTTGGGAACCCCTGCTCTAAATGACACTGCTTTTTTTTAAAAGGGAATTGACTGAAGAGTCTATACTGTGCGTATTTAAGAATTTCTGGATTTCAACCAGTATGCTGAACTATGAATGAAATAAAGGTTTGATTAGATGTGAATTTCTAGGGATTGCACAGAAGTTAAGACCTTTAGCTGTCTGCAACATGCTGCTGGCAGAATATAGGAGCAAGCACAAAGTTTCTTCTCTGACTAAAGCCTCTGCATGTTAATCTACAGGGAATCTTGTTTTGTGCTTAGGACTGTTTGCCTGCAGGAAGCTAATAGCAGAAATGGGTTTTTTAATGTATTGCACAATGCTAATTCTCCATTTAAAAAGCCCACACTTTTGCCCATGTGCTTGGTCAATTATGTGCAGAATTGTATTTTGCATGCCAAATGTGGAAAACAACCCATCCCTCCATTTGGTTTGAATTTGAACCACAATGGAATAACTAATTTCTCCCTCCCCTGGGCAACATCCTGATATGGAGTGGAATCTCTATATACACAGTTTATTTTTAAATCAGGCTCATTGTTGATCGCTGTATTGCTAAGTTTGTCCTCAGAAATAGGATCAGGTAGATCAAGATTTACCTAGTTTCATCCATTCATTCAAGCAGAAATCAAGTGGTCTGGTAGAAATTGACCAATGGATCATTGATGGATGTGATTTGATTGCTCTGGGAATAATTCAATGGTCTCTGAGTCAGTTTGGTGTAGTGGTTAAGGCATTAGGCTAAAAACCAGGGAACTATGAGTTCTAATTCTGTCTTTGGTCACAAAGCCAGCTGGGTGACCTTGGGCCAGTCACTTTCTGTCAGCCCTAGGAAGAAGATAATGGCAAACCACTTCTGAAATACCTTGCCAAGAAGAAAATTAAAGATATCTAGAGAGGAAAGAATTGGGCACATTTCTTCACTCGACTGTCTTCCTAGGAAATGTTTATTTCTTCTTTGCCCTTCTTTTATTAAGAAAGAAAGATCAGTTCTGAGTCACCATCATAATAATGTATGGGCATAATAATGTATGGGAAAACTGAGTCTTAGGCTGCTCTCAGAAATTGGACAATGAATAAAAGGGACATTTGAGGTTTATGTTATGGAATGTCTTTGGAAAATAGAGGAGGTATTAAGACAGTTAAGGGAAAAAGCAAGGGCCAATGCAGGAGATTTTTGACTCCAGGGAAGAAGAAGCAGAAGAAAATTAGAGTAACTTCCCTTTAACCACACTAGGATAGGCTTTTTGATAGGCATTTAACATACAGTTGCATTTCTCTACTAGCAATAAAGATCTTTCCAGAAATCCAAGTGGTTCTTATTTCTTGAAAGCTTGATAGTTTATTAACATGTTTGACATCTCAGTAACATATAACCCCTAACTCTAACTCCATCACTCAAATAAAACCACCCTATTTCCTTTGGTTACTATGAAAGACATTTAATGTGAATTTCATTTACTGAATGTCAACCATATTTTTTGAAAGATTCTTGAACTTGTGCTCTTGGGATATATTATGACAACAGCCCCATAGTAATTCCTAGTCAGTCCTGTGATCAGAAATGATCAGAGCTGTTGTCTCAGCATACCTGAAAGGCACAAGGTTGACAACAGTTGTTTTAGTAGACAATGTTTTGGTCTTCCTCAATGTATCATACAGAGTCTTCCAAGTAGGAAATTCCTTTTTCCCCTTCAGAAGAGACCCTTGCCTTGTTGAAATGCATCCACCCAAAGATCTGGGTGGTCCTGATCTGGGTGGTTCAAAATCTGGGTGGCCTATTAGCATTTTTTAAGTTCTGAAGACTTGCCTGTTTCCTAAGCATTAAGGCCAGCTAGGCAAGCACTGTTATGGATGGGATTTTAGGACTGGAATGTATCATTTACCTCAGGGCATCATGGGCTATTATTTTTAATTACTGGGGTTTTTAAAACTTTGTATGCTACCCAGAGTCACTTCTGTGAGACAGGCGGCCATATAGATTGTCTTGATTAATTAATGGATTAATTTCTGGAAAAGACATTGTGTCAGAATGCAGCATCAGAGTTCTATATTTATAATATAGGATCTATATACTCATATTTTGACTTTGTGCACTGCCACCATTAAGCATAATTCATTACTATTTTCTGTCATGGTTGAATGCTTACCTTGCCATGTGGTGCAAGTCTAACTTACTTGTAAGCTCAACTTTTTTTTGAGACACCCATCGGGGACATACCTGTATTTGAACGTTTTTTGGGGGTTTTAAGACTTCGGCACCTGCCGCTGATGGAGCTGCTGTTCTCACTCATAGAGTCTTGTGCAGAAGAAGTGCTTCCTGTGGCTTCACTGTCTCTGATCATGCTTTCATATCCACTGCTTCCTCCACTATGGTAGAACAGAGCTGTTTTCCCCATGGCTGGAGGAAGCTCCCCACTCAGGACACTGCTGTTGTCACTTCCGTGACCACTGCTGCAGCGATGAGGCTTCCTAGGAGGTGTGATCTTGCTGTATGGTGAAGGAAGCAGGTGAACAGGGGGCTTCTTGTCTCCATGAACGCTGCTGCGTTCATCTGTGTCTGAGTTCCTGCACAGCTGCATTCCTCGGGTGCCAGCATTTCCTTGCAGCAGTTCTGAAATCCTCCCATTAACAGCTCTGAGGGGCAATTTGGAAGAAAGACCAGAGCCTCGGTTCCTGCTAAGAGACTGAGTTGACCAGGACATGTTCTTTCCATTTGGAGGCAAACTTGAACTCTGTCCCACAGACTGAGGAAGGGACTTGGTCGAAAAGCTAAGGGTTTTGGTGGTGGAAGCAGCCAGGCTTCGAGCCTTTGGACTTGCCAAAAGGAGTTTGCTCACAGCAGAGATCTTTGATTGACTGGCTTTTGGTGAAGCTCCTGCAGACTGGGAAAAGCCCGAGTTTGTTGGGGAGGATATTGCATTGCGGTTGAGGCTTCTGCTGGCTCTGGGCATGGTGGTGTCTTTTCCAATGTTCATCTTGGAGCTGACAGAGGATAGACTTTCTGCCCTTTCCAAAGACAGGCACTCGTAATGACTCCCATTAGACCTTCCAAGAGAATTGGTTCTGCTAGCCAACTGTTCTAGTTTTGCACTAAATAATTTACTGCTGCTATTGCTCCCACTCTCCATACTGGAACCTTTTTGTTTCCCACTGGGTTCGTCAGGAAAGCTAGCCAAAAAAGAGGGTGGTTGGTTGGAAGGGCTGCTGGTGCTACTGCTACAAGCATTGTGCTGGGGACTGGCTCTATTCTTCTGGTCAAGGCTAGATTTCCTCACAGGAGGTAATGGTGGTGTTCCTTTGGGGCGGGTTAGAACACCGTGCTTGGGAGAAGCTACCTTTCTTTCCAAGCTAGCTTTCGATGTTTGGGATGACACAGAAGAGCTCATGCCACCACCCTCCTCTACGTAATGATAGGAAACGACGTCCAGTTCCTCCAACTTGTTGTTCTTCTGGAATCCTCTGCTAAGGCTGCCATTTTTCAAACTTTCAGTAGAATGAAGGGGGCTGTGGGTTGCAGAACCTGGCAGTCCCGCTTCACATTCATCTATCGCCCTTCTTGGGTTTTCAGTTCCTGGTGAACTTGAAATCTCTCCACTGCTGCTACTGAACCTGTCGGCAGAATTTTGTTTCTTATTTTGCTCAGGTACTGTTTCAGCCTTGAGACCATGTTCATTTTTTGCACAATCTTCCCTCTTTAGCCAAGGATCATCAAATTTTAGATCTTTTCTTGCATTGAATTCTTTTCCCTCATGAAGATAGGGAGTTCTGGCTGATGATGATACTGATGATATGGCCTCATGACCTTCTTGGGCCTTAAAAGAATTGACAGAAATACGTGGGAATACTGTAATGTTAGTCTTCATTGGAATGAACCCTTCGCAACTGCTTACACTTGTAGTGTTTGATATTGTGACGGTAGTCTTTTCCAGGGCTGATATTTTACAGCTTCTGATGGGAGATAATTTATTAGTATTTCTGTCAACCCCTTCGGGTGACACAAACATATCCTCAGTACAACGGTTTTGCTTGTCATTTATGCAAACTGCTTTTGCAAGTTCAGAAGGAGGAGCTTCTGCCATTGCTTCTCCATGACCATAGCATGCCTGTGCTATGAAACTGTGGCATGACTGTTCACCATCACTTCCAGTACTCATTTCACTCAGCCATGAGCTAATAGAGGAACGTCTACTTTCAGCTTCTTCAGCTTTGTCCACCAGCCCCATTTTTGGAAGGGGCAGGAACTGGGTAATGCTTACTTCAGAAATAGGAGCTGTGCTAGAGTAGCACTCGAGATCTTCACTAATACTGCTGATAATGCTAACCGGTCTAGACCCGGAAGCCAACGCTTGTACAGAACAATCACTGTTAAAACTGATGATACTTGTTGGCCGCCCATTTTCCAAAACTCCACTAATGGTCAGCTCTTCAACTAGGGTAAACACCAGCTCATCCTCCCCATTAAGTTCTAAGGGCTGCTGCACGGTGACCATAGTTGTGCTCAAAATCTCCTGCTTTGACTCTGGAGATAGGGATTCTTGTTGCTGCTCTGCTTTTTCAATCACCTCTGTGTAATCGATGTTGCCAGAAGAAAGTGACTTTTTCAAGATTTGAGGACTCATGCCAATGGGAGGGGTGCGGATCTCGGATTGCATTAGGGATTCACTGGATACCATACCCGAATCTTTGCTTAATGATGATGGTGGAGGGGCTGGGTTTGGCAATACCCCTTTCTGAGTATAAACTTTGCACCTCTGAGAAGGAGAAGCTGGTGGTTTGTAATCGGAGGCCTTTGAAAGGCTTGCAATACCAAGCCGCGGTGATCCCATTGGCCGTGGCTTATTTTCTAGGAAGCCACCGCTATTAAGACTTTCTCGACTGCTTTGCAGGTCTGTGCAGTGAGGTTGTTGAGAACTGTTAATCTGACTACTAGGACTACCTGTCACATTCCAATGGGCCTGAGGAGTGGAAATCTCATTAAGCATCCTACTGTGAACAGGGGAGTGACCTCCCTGGATTTGGCTGGCGGTAGCATTTAAGTTTTCCTTGGCATCTTTATCAGCTTCCTGGCAGACCACCAAGTCATCTTCCCTGCTTGGATCTGATGCACTACAGTGCTCTGTCTCTTGGCCTGATAAAGAACATTTAGTCACTGGGTCTGAGTTAAACTGAACTGGTAGTTCTTCAAAAAGAAATCCGTCTGTCTCTTCACTGCCATCAATGCAGTCTAATCTCTCTTGGAGTTCTGCAAATGTATTGCACTTCAAGCAATCTCTTTCAGGGGCTGTCTCATTCATTTCTTCCAACTTGCCTTCATTTTTAGCTTTCTGAAGAGCAGGAACTATAGGGACAAAATCAGGAGGGCCTTCATTATCAGTCAGCTCCTTGTCAGAAAGAGCTGTTCCATTAGGACCAACATAAATGACAGTGTCACATGACTGTTCACTGCTGGAAGAATAATCTGGATCACTTGACAAATGAAGAATTGGGAAGTCTGGATCAACCACATTCCGCGAATGGAAAGGTCTAAGCTGGGTTGGTCTCCTCATTCTCCCTTCTTCACAAGAGCTTTCTCCTCCAGAAGAGCTTGATGTATACTAGAAATCAGAAGAGGGATAAAAAGTTAGAAGTCCAGAAGATGCTTTCCAGAACCAATGCACTCAAGTAAGCAGTGATACGTCTTCTAGTACTTGGGATGCAATTGCGTAATGGGGCCTCATTCAGGATAAGCCTTTCCCAATCTGATGCTCTCCAAATGTGTTGGAATAATAATTCTCAAAATACTCAGTTATAATGCTCAATGGGAATTTTGACGGTTCTGGACCCAACACATGCGGGGGGAGAGGTACTAGAATGGGAAAGAGTGCGGTAATTTGTCACAGTGTATTAGGGACTATCTCCACAGCAGTCATGCTGTCTGATGTCATGGAGAAAATGGTCAAATTCTTACAGCACATAACTGCACAGATTGCTTGTGCATTTTAAGCAGGTGTATACACACATACACACACACACACAAAGTGACCATACTGCTATTTCAGATAGCATCATCATGAGTAAAAAATAATTTTGAGGTGAAAAGAATACTAACTGATTTCAAGCATTTTAATTCTTTAGTGAATTCTACACATTCCTTATAAAATTTGCAAACATTACAAAATTTGCAAACATTCAGATGCACAGAGAAGCAATGTGATCCTCAGAAATCCATCTAAAGTTATCTTTTCAGCCACTCACTATCCCTCAATACAATGATATTACAGAGTTAAATATTGTGCAGCCTAATTAAAAAAACCAACCCAAATTACACTTACTAGATGACTTAATGAGTCATATTTTTGATACTGTTGCTTAAGTGCATAACTTGGGAAGGTTCTGATAATGCTGGAAGATGATAGCAGCTGATCTTGCTGTTCTATGATGCTTTCAAATGTCCCATACTATCTGCTTCTCCAATAGAGAGTTTTCACTGGATCTCAAAATACTGATTGATTTGTTAGGCCTATAATTAGCCAGGTGAAGATGCTTCCACAGGAGAAAAAAATGACCTTTCTTCCCTTAAGTTATGGATTTTGTTTTGTTCACTTTCAACAACCACAGAATCCCCAAAAGCTACCAGGACATTTGAAAATGAAGTTAATTCACTCTTACAAAAAACTCTTAAGTGCTTCCAGCTAGCACTTCTAACAGAAACACTAATAGGAACTGTTGGAACTGTTGAAATTAAGGCAAGATCTGGAAGACAAGAAAGATCTCTGCTAGAACTGTCCCCAAACTGGTCAGATCTGAAAAACAGTCCGCAATGGAAATGACCTTTTGAAAAGTTTGAAATACTGGGTCTGTATTTATACACAGATTCACAATATAGCATTTCTTAAACAGCAATAAACTGCATGGGAGAGTTTCCAGAAGGAAATCTTTAACCATAATTATGAAAGTAATCATTTATTTGTTTACTTGACTTAGATGCCACCCACCACATTCAATTCTGGGCTAAAGAATTTAAAAGGAAACCTTGATAAACCTGAAAAGTTTTGAAACAAAATGGTCGGATCAATAAAACAAAAACTGAACTATTTGGGTATGATAAAGAAGACCCATTTGAAGAAAGAGCAGAGCATTTGAAGGAAATAACACATTACTAATTATATGGGGATGCCTCTGTTATGGTTTATGGTTGTGTGGAAGCCAATGATACAGTAAATATTGCGGGTGAAAGGAAGAATGGATTCAATTAAATATCAACACACTCTAGATGTCCCTCAGTCACTGAAGAAATTGAATCTGAAAATAAGCTGGATGTTTCAACAGGACAATGATCTGACTCCTCTCTTGAAAATCAGCCATAACATACTTGCAGGAAAGAAAGATAACCATTTTGGAATGGCCTTTACAGTCCCCAGAGTTGAACAAGATTAAAAATCTGTGAAAAGACATCAAACCCAGAATGTGTGCAGAGATAACTAAGAGTGCCTCTGAGCTAAAAGAATTCTATGAGGAGGAAACAAAAAAAAACTAAAATAAAGAATAGAAAGCCTGTTTGCTGGCTCAGGAAATATTTGTAAGTTGTTATTTCCACTAAAGATGCTAGAGAATATCAACTGAAATAATATCCAAAGTTCTTCACCTGCCATGTAAATTCCTTTCTTATTGTGAAACTGTAAACAACTGCATATAAATAAAAAGTATGTGTTTCCCAATTTTCAATGGGGAACAACAATGTAAAAAGTATTTTATTTATTCATTTATTTATTAGTCAAATAGCTGCCCATCTCATGGAAGTGACTCTGGGCGACAGACAACAAATGTTAATACATCTGTTTAAATATTTTAAAAATACCAAGCCCAGAGCCCCCATTGAAAACAGCACTGAAAATTCATGCTGTGATCTCTTTCTTGTTTGTCTTCGTGTCACTTCAGCGCCGCTCTAATTTGTTAAAACAACTTTTTAAAAGGTAGCATTGAGAAGTAATATTGAGCTCAATAAACACTACAGCCACAACTTCTCAGTAAATACCTTCATCTTGCAAATGTTTTCTTTCTTCAGAAGATTATACAGAGTTCAGACCAGAAATTGAGCTTAATTTCACATGCTAAATGATAACGTTGGCTTAAAATGCCCTGACACGCTTGTACTTGGAAAAAGTGATGGAGAAAATTAACACTGATGTCACACTCAACAATCTATTGTTTTGCAGAGGTTTCTTTCTGTGAACAAACTGTTAGGGAGCAATAATTGTGGAATCTGTTCACTGATCTCAAAAAATTGATTTATAATCCACAGGCTATTAATATGAATTATGATAAAGAAAGCTGAATTTCAAGCAGCTCTCTGTATTAATAATATTCTAAGAAAAGAACACAAGTTCTCTGCCATGTATGTGGCTGTTAAAAGCACTGCATAATTCACTAAGTACAAAACATATGACCCCCCCTCTTCTTTCCACACATACTCTTAAATGTACTGCCACGCACTCAAAACCATGACTATTGATTTCCATGGAGGTGGCCTTCCATTTATTTACGACCTTGGGCTGCTTTGCTTTTTCCAATGAATGACAACCAAAGACTGCCCTTACCTTAGTTTTCTTTTTCTTCATTCTTAAAACCCTGGATGCAATCTGGATAGTAGAAAGGGTTTCAGCATAGTTTCCTGCAGCTGCTGAAATGTGAGCTATCATGGTGGTACGGCAGTTCATGTTCCCAAGGGACTCTCGGAGCAACATGGTCAGCTTGCTGTCTCTGCCAAATAAAAAGAATTAAGACTGCATTAGTGAGCGATGTTTCACTAGCACTGTCAGGATCAGACCTGGGGTTTTAGCAGGATTTCATCCTTTTAATGGAATGCTAATTAGCACGGGTTCTTAACGATTCTAGTGTACTACACGTGCAGTTGAACAAGTTGGTAAATGATGGTGAAAAGAGCTTCTCTTTTTGTATATTTTCCCGCTACTGCCTTCAACAGAGGAAAGTGACTTGTGGAAAACCAGAATTTCAAGGGAAAATTCTAGTGCATCAAAACAATAAAACACAAAGGAAGAAGAAGACCTCCAAAAACTGCACTGCCTTCATCTCTGCTGATTTCTTTTTGATGAATGAAGATGAGATTGGTTTCTGCCGTTTATGTTTCTGCCACATTCCGAGTAAACTAAATGGGCTCAGTTTTAAAATTCTAATGTCCTGCCACCTTTTTTCTTGCACACTCTCTGATGGTAATCAGACCTGGAAATGGTACTGCATAACAATTGCTTTGGCAATGAAGAACCTGGGTAAATGAGAATGCTGTCGGTTTATTCCTATGTGCAAATGTGAGCTGTAAAAATTAAGCAAAAGTGAGAAAAGAGTGAATGAAACAAAGAAAGAAAGACCTTGCTGTTGTCAGCAGTACTTAAGACAATTCAGAAGTAAAATAGTCCCTATGTGTATTTGCCGGTGATGAGAAGCATTAATTCAGTGCTACTAACATAAGCATCCACTGGGAGCTGCTTCTGTGAAAGCTCTGCTAAAATGGATAGGAATTGAGCAGGAGAAACCTGTGATTCACTTAAAAACTATACCCCGTTATTTCTTAATGAGATTCCTCTCCTCCTGAAATGCCAAACAGCAGCTCTTCAAATGGTAATGACATGTACCTCTGACAGATTAGTCACACTGCCTTGGTTGTCTGCAAAGGAATAGAATATAATATGTATATTTATATGTATATGTATATATGTGTGTTTGTGTCTGTGTGGAGAGAGATAGAAATATGGTATGTGTGTCTATATATGTATGTCTGTGTGTACATGTATGTATGTCTGTGTCTGTGTATACATATCATGTATGTTTGTATATGTGGATGTGGGTATATACAGAGATTCATTTGTAAAGATTCAGAAGCACTGTTTTTTTCCTCTAAATTTCCTCTAATTCTCCCCTGCCCCAACACACACATTCTTGAATATGTACACCAAAAATGAAAATAATTTTGTGGGCACAGTGCGATGATGAATATCAAAATATTTTATAGAATCATTAGTCATAAAATGAAATTTGTTCTAATTTTGATGTGATCTTTTAACACTAAAATGAGTTGGGGAGAGATGTTCCAGACAAGACTTTCAATACATGTGGCTGCTCCATCATTTAAAAGTGGTCCTGGTGAGCCTGTCCCGGGTGCATCTCTTCAAGGCACAGTGCTTCCCACCCAAATTACACCTACTTTCATTAATATATACAGAGATATTTAACACATCCACAACACACTTAACATCACCGCCTTCAAGGGTTACTTTCTGCTCCAGATGTAACACATATAGTTTGGTTATCCCCTACTATTATTGGTATTTGGGATTCTTCAATAGGATTAACATGCTATCTATAACAGCTATATGTTAAACGTGCATATATCACCAGTATCTGAAATCTTTTCAATTATGTGTGTCAACTAAATGAATTATAAAATCGACAGCTCATTCGAAGAAAAAGCAAGTTCCTAAGTGTTCTTTAACATCTGAATTAGGGTTGGATGTCTTTTTTTAAATCAAGGAAAAGTCTTCCAAATAATATACTTAATATTTTTAGAATTGTTTTGTTCATAAGGAACGGTTGTTGGAATTGGGTATGTCTAGTTTAATGAAGAGAAGGATGAGGGGTGACATGATAGCAGTGTTCCAATATCTCAGAGGCTGCCACAAAGAAGAGGGAGTCAAGCTATTCTCCAAAGCACCTGAAGGCAGGACAAGAAGCAACGGATGGAAACTAACCAAAGAGAGAAGCAACCTAGAACTAACGAGAAATTTCCTGACAGTTAGAACAATTAACCAGTGGAACAACCTGCCTCCAGAAGCTGTGAATGCTCCAATACTGGAAGTTTTTAAGAAGAGACTGGACAGCCATTTGTCTGAAATGGTATAGGGTTTCCTGCCTGAGCAGTGGTTGGACTAGATGACCTCCAAGTTCCCTTCCAACATTATTGTTGTTGTTGTTGTTGTTGTTATATCCAGGACTTTCCCATCTCCTTTTCCTTTTTGAAAGTATTATTATGCTTAATATTTTGAATCTATACCAACATTTCAGTCTTGTGGAATATAAGTATTTTGCTAATTTCACCTAATAATTTTAAAGCATATTTATACGGAAAGTATAATAAAAAGCATGATTGATTTGTTTATGGAAATAATTGAGCAAAGGAACGATGTGAAGTTCTAAATTTGGGTGAAACATTCATTTGGTACAGATAGTCCTGGTTTTAGCAACTAACTTGTTTAGTGATTGTCTGCAATTACAACAGTGATCAAAAAGTAGCTTTGTGACCAGCCCTCACATTTCAACCTTCACAGGTCTGTAAAGCAAAAGAAAGCCGAGGAAGATTATATGCAGAGTCATGGTTTCACTTAGTGACTGCTTTGCTTAATCATTGAGTTAGTGAGGGCTTGGCCAGTCCCAATTGTGGTCGCTAAATAAGGACTACCTATACTGTTAAAAATAGATTTGGGGAAAAGAAATGGATATGAAAGACAAAGGAAATTTCAGAAAGAAAATAGAGTGAAAGAATGACAGCAGGAAGAAAAAAGTATAAGGCCTAAATGTAAAACAGTATGAAGGAAATAGGTTGTAGAATTTGTATGAAATTTGTATGAAACAAAGAGAAAGGAACTATGTAAGAGTGTGAAGTTACATTAATAGGAAGTATAAAAAAGGTTGTTTGATGAAATGTTGAAGTAAAAGTATAAAAAATTTCAGCGGCAATTCATAATTCTATTATCTTGAAGTTACCCTACTGCCGCATGATTTACATGGGGACTGAACAAAATGCAGTGGCCTAACTTCTGATAAAAAAAGTAGGTTCAACATGATACACTTATACTGGGGCTACAGGACTGGTTAACAATAGACTTCCAGGTCAAACTCAAAGTGCTGGTTTAACCTTCATGGCTTAGCATCTGTGTACTTGGAATCAACACACCCTGCGAGTTCCTCCTAAATGGGATTTCTCAAACTCCCCACTAAAAGTGAGATTAAAGAGGTGGAAGGCCAGAGGTGAGTCTTCACAGTGGTGGCCCCCATACCATGCAATCCCCAATGAAAACTGCCATCACAAGTATGGCAATATAAAAATTTACATATAAAATGTAAATCTTTAAAATGAGGATAAAAATGTAACATTAAAAACATATTCATAAAGTCTACTCTATTATTCTACTGTTATAGAACCAGCAATTCTTTAAAATTGTTTATGATACTTGGATGCAATTATATTCATGTAGAAAGTGTTAGTTGGAATAGTCTTATCTCAATAAATGTAATAACTTCCTGGAAAAAATGTTATGAAAGCTTCCCAGTATTTCTCCTTTTTATAGGTAACAAACATTCTTCTTATTTCTAAAAAGTCTTTTCACCACATTAAACCTTTATTTCAAGGATGTATTTCTACGCTTTTGCGTTGAAAAGCTTTTAAGATATCTGTAGCCTTGATTCTAAATATATCATATGAAGTCTATTAAATGCCTGGGAAGCTGTGGAAATATATTACAGCAAGGCCGCAGACATTGCTTTGAATTGCTCTTTATCCTTTAGATACCATTTAAGTTGTTGGCTTTAATCTCTCAAGTACTTGGTTGGCCAGTTTGCACATAATGATAATCTCTCAAGTGCATTTAATGAGGTAGTAAACAATGATCAGTCGTGCCAGTTCTTCTGTCCATGAGAGTGACTAAATAATCAGGAAAGTCTGTGGTTTATTTAGCATTACAAGCAATCCATGTTCCCTGATTTATTGTGACACAACTCCAATGCATGAATGAGGTTTCTAACTTTGTTTTGTTTAGCTGCTCCCACTGGCAGAAAAAAAACACATAGGAGCAATTAAATTGCATACATTAAAACACTTGCTAAATAATTGTATTTATTAAAACTATATCTAATGGAATATACTCTTTCATAAACCTGATTTTTACAGTTCCATTAGTTCATTTGTTGTTTCTAAAAAGCATTTCCAGAAACATAGCAGTTTTGCTGTTACTGGTAGAGACTAGGGAAGGGAAGAACAAGATTCGGGCAAGAAAGAACCAGTTTATTAATGCAGATGCTCAGAAGCTGATACCTGACTTGAGCACTGATGTATTTACTTAGACAGCATGACGCATCCACATTAAGAAGGGATTAGGAATGCTCTGTTACAAACATAACAATTAAGACTGCTCTTGGTTGCTTATTTGCCTTAGAAGGTAAGTTTGCTGCTTTTTAAGAAAGTTTGTTTTTCAATGGAAAAATGGAATAGTATAAGGCAATTGAAAAAAGAAGATGAATGAGAAATCATAACACTGCAGGAACTTATGCAGATGAGGAAAGAACATCTGACATGAAACCTAGTTCTGGAGAAAGTTTAATGAAGGGCTATGCTACCAATATAAGAAAATTGCAGCCAAGTTCCATCCATCCATCCATCCATCCATCCATCCAATTTGTAAAGCCAGCCATCTCAACAGTGACTCTAGATGGCAAATAAAAAGTGAAAACAATTACAATAATACAAAATTTAAAATATATAGCAGCTTAACCCTAAGGAGGGAAGGAGGGAGGAGTTTTATGTACTCTCAGGCTGGGACTAAGTTTTACTTTCCAAGCAGGAGCAATAGTTTACTTAAATACAGTAAAAGCATTGGTCATAAATCAAGTCACATCCACTACTATAAAGGAAACAGGAGGGGGGATCTGATACTGTTTGTTTATCCTTCATAGAAAA